CTGCAGAGAGCTCGCTATGATGAAGCATCATGAAGTTTCTGCAAATGTTCGTAGCATTTGCCACTCGAGCTGCGGTCCGGTTTTGCTGTCACTAGAAACCCTTGCGCCATGGCATTGGTCTTCAGCCTCTTCCTGTTGCCAGTGGCTGCACAATACTCTGAAGATCCTGGTAGCAAATTTCCTACTCCAACGGTGGAAAGCAATTGCTTGCAAGATAACTTGGCCGACAATCAAGTGTACTACCAGAAGGTGGACCAAATGTTCAATGGCTCGTCGAACGCAATTTGTCCCAACACCTTGGGCCTCTACGTGAATCAGCCGTGCACTTGGGCTGCTGGCAGGGCCACCATGACCGTGGCACCGGTGATCAATCAATGCCATTGGGCCATCCGCAACTTCCATTGGCATGACAGCTCTGATGAGTGGAGTTACATGGTTCAAGGTGTGATGCAGGTGTATTTGACTTCTCCCTCAGGTGTACCTTGGCAATCTGCAGTGAACACAATTGGTGCTGGTGGAGTTTGGTTCTTCCCCAGGGGTTGGCCACATGCTTTCGTTTGCGTCTCTGAAGAGGGGTGTAATTATGTGCTGACCTTCAATGGCCCCCCAGTCAGTGGCGGTAAATGACCACATGATTGCAGAGAGCTATGCACAGTTGCCAGATAAGATCGCAGCTTATTCCATGGGGATGAGCATGGGCGAGTGGGCCACTGCAAAGCCGAAGATGTCTGCCGACACTGGTACATTCTTTGCAAAGGTGGATTCTGCCAAGTTCAAGTGGCTGCCAGAAGAGAATGCAGAACCAGCCGCAGTGAACCGTAGTGATGTGGAAGTGGAGGATACACGTCCAGGTCTTGGAAAAGGAATTCAGGTCTGGAACATTCGAACGGCTCAGTTCCCCTTTGCCACCAGGATGTCTCAACAGCGCATTGTCTTCCAGCCCGGAGGATTCCGTTCCCTTGTGTGGATCACCAATGCGGCAGCCATCATGACCGTGATCTCTGGTCACGTGAATGCAGCCACCCAGGGTGGCATCAGTGGTGGAAACAACACCGGACCATCTTCCACGTCATACGAGGCCACGAACTTGGGGCCCTTTGATGCATTCTACTTTCCCATCCGCCGGGGCTACTGGATCGAAGAAGCCACTGGAAAGGAGCCAGCGGAAGTGATTGTGGTCTTCGAAGTCGGCAACTAATTGGAAGCATAGATTTGGTGTGTGTTGAAGGGATAAGACTAGATAAGATATATTATATGTTAAATTTATGAATAGATTACTGCACAATATATGTTTAAAGTGGATTTGCGTGCGTTTTGTTGATGTGGCCATTGTTTTCAGATCTTGGTTTCGTGTGATTTTGCTGATGACTCATGACATCTCATGACATCTCCTGAGTTTGTTTTTCTGAGGCAACTGGGAGGCTCTTGAAGCGAAAGACGGTTTCAGCTGTGCCAACCCTCTGGGAGCTCCCTGGGCATATGAGGCTACAGCCGGCGGCATTGAGTGTCCATCAACAGCGGAGTTGGTGCAACGTGACGGAAAACGCCACAAGAGCTTGCGTCGTCATGACAATTCTGATACTCAATCCTTGATGCAGCAGCCCAAGCAAACTGAGATCGAGAACTCTGAGTTGTGAGTTGCCAAGAGGCTTGACATTTGAAGTTGAGTCGAGAGGTGTTCCATTCACGTGTAGAGCAGTTCACGATAGTTTTGGATAGATTGTTTGGATTGGAGCTTATAATCGTGTCGATTGTGTTCTCCAGACCTCAGTCCTCAGAACACATTTCCAAAAACACGAATACTCCCTGCACATTTTGCCAAAAGAGCTGGCATTTCTTTGCCAATGTGCAGGAGTGTTTTGGTTTGCGATGTTGATATCAGCTATCTTCAGCTTAATAGCTGAGCCGCTGAAATGCATCTACACCGCTAGAATGGTTCACAAAGCTGCGGCCAAGTTAGTTTTGATCTCTTGAGGGACTAGTACTGCCAACAGAGGACTACTGGCACTACTGGTAGCCTGTTTTGCAATCTCGCACAATGCCACCGATGC